ATGCCAGAAACTTTGAAGCACATGAACTACCAGCAATGTTAGATAAGAAAGCAGACAAGAACCATACACATAAATCCTTCACAACTGTTGCTATAGAAAGTATTGAAGGAACGGTTGAAGAAACTGGTGGGGAGGCGGAGCCCGCCGCACGCGGCTGCATTATATTGTAAACCTCCTAACTTTCCACAAGGTTTAACATCGGATGACGACATAACGACGATGAGAAACATTAGATGTAAAGATGTTTATGTCATGAAGGATGAACATAATATTAAATTCACTGCTCAAGATTTATATGACAAGAAAGCAGACAAGAACCATACACATAAATCCTTCACTACTGTTAGAGCAGACGACATAATATTGAACTTTGACCTTGGTTCAAGTGCACCTTTAGAGAATCCGAGTACAAGCGTAAAAGATACTCTTAACAATTTAGATAAGAGTTGCAGGAATACCGAAGATCATGCCAGAAACTTTGAAGCATATGAACTACCAGCAATGTTAGACAAGAAAGCAGAAAAACTTATGTGGATGCAGAACTAACAAAGAAATTTTCGAAACCAGATACAATGACATTTACAACAGAAATTATAAATGGTGAACCAGCAACTCCATTTGAATTTGTTAGAGGTCTTCAACCAGATACTTTTGAATTTTTCTTGGATAATTCTATTGAACTAACATTACATTATAAAAGTGGAACAAATGCAACATTTCATCCGGGAGATACATTCCAAATGGTATTTAATGACATAAGTTCTTTAGAATATGTTTATAGAGTTATGAGCATATATGATTTAATATATCCTATAGGAGCTGTTTATACGTCTATGAATCCAATAAATCCAAACACTTTATTTGGTGGTAGATGGTATGAAATAGTTGACAGTTTTCCATTCTACACTAATACGCAGTCAATGAAGATGGGAGGTTCAAAGAAAATAGGTATTGAAAACCTTCCTTCACATATGCATAGGTTCAGTGGAAGAACATCTGTGGAAGGAAACCATTCACATTCAATAACAAAAAGAGGTTATACAAATCTTGCAGCGGGTTCGGATAGACAGGGAATGAATAGATATGATATCACAACTGACCCCAAAGATGTTAGCACAGGTATTTTCTGTGGAACTGCAGGAAATCATACACATGTTGTAGCTGGTATTACAGACCCAGCAGGTAATGGAAAAGATTATATGCCTCCTTATATAACAATGCACGCTTGGATACGAGTTGGTTAAAATCTTTAACTTTACATAAATGAGCTTGAAAGAAGTATTCGAACAACATCCATGGAGGTCATTTAAGAAGTTCAATGAAGCTGCAAAGAGTTCGGGATTTACTAACAGAGCTGAAGTGAAAAGGTTCTTTGACAAAAATGTTGTACATCAAACAAAAATAAATCCTTACGACTACTTTTTACCAATTTACTCCAACACTCCTGACGCATACCAATTTGACACTCTCATTCAAAGCAGAAAAGGAGGACATAAACCATTCCTCATCTTCATAAATGTTAACACTCGTAAAGCATATGCGTATATAATGAGAAATAAAGGAACTCATGAAGTGTTAAGAGTTTTACAAAAGTTTGTAGCAGAACATAGCCCAAGTATTTTAACATCAGACCAAGACGGTGCATACCTCAGCAACGAAATCACAGAATTTCTCATTAAGCATAACATAACTCACTACACTACTGAAGACCATAACCATAACATACTCGGTATCATTAACCGCTTCATAAGGACTCTCAGAGATTTAAATCAAGAGCGAGACTTTACCGAAGAAACAATGAAACATTTTCTCGAAGTATATAATTCCTCAACACATTCTACAACAGGACATACACCAAATTCAATGACACAACAACAAGAAGAAAAGTATATACAAAAGAAACGAAGCCAAACACAAAATATCAGAAATTCAACACAATTTACTCTCATTCCTGGTACAAAAGTTCGTGTAGTTCTTGACGACAAACCATTGACAAAGAAACGTTTAAGGTTAAGTCGAAATTATTATATCGTAGACTCTACGCAAGGTAATGGATATCTTATAAAAGCTGCTGACGACTCCATAGCATTTTACCCTCGACATAAATTAGTCGAAAGTAGTAATGGCAAACTTGCTGAAACCATTGACGAAGCAAAGCGAGGAGTGGTTATTGAAATACTTGACTATAACACAAACGATGACACTTATAAAGTAAGATATGAAGGAGGCGTTGAAGATGTTATACCATCTAAGAACTTGAGAGAATCTAAACCAACTCATCTGGGACCATTAGAGCGGGAGTACTGGAAAGATAAAAACATGCCAGAAAGAATAAGAAAATTCTTCTAAACTTTTTCGTTGGATGTAAATCAGACAAAAATATAATTTAGGTGAAGAGGTGAGATTCACCTGTTTTTTCACCTCTTTTTTCACCTCTTGAATTTTCATGAATTTTCACAAAAGACCAAAAATAAAGTTAGTTTTTTATTTTATTTTTTTTATTTTGTATGTAAGAACAAAATGTCAGTCGAAGCAAAAACATTCACGAACAAATCTAATGGTGAAACATTCACAAAAGGCACTTATAACGGTATTGAAGTCTTACGTAGAGACAAGGATGGTTACATTAATGCAACAAAGATGGCAAGAGAAGCAAAGTTAAACCATTTAAACAGATTTCTCAATAGTACTAAAATGCAGGAAATTCTTGAGTTTTGGTTGAAAGAATACGGTGGAGCCAAAAGTGGCTCGACCTCAAAACAAGCATTTTATGAGCTTACTAAGGGCGTTATGAATGAATTCAAAGGTATTTACATACATGCTGACCTCGTTCATTTTGTTGCTGAATGGTGCTCTGTAAAGTATGCATTTTATGTCAAAGATATTATGGACTCCATAGACAAGAAAGTTCATGAGAAGTTAGATGAAGAAGAACTCGAAGATACAGTGGAGAATGCTAAACCTTTGTTCGAAGAAGAAGTTGGAAAAATGTGTGAAAAACAATTAGAACATGAACGTGAGATATATTATGGTTATAGAGATTCTCCATACGAACTAGACCAATGGGAACAAGAAGATTTAAAGAGAGAATTTAGAGAATATGAACTCGCTAAGATAGCATTTGAAGCTGCAGAAAAGAAGTTAAAAGTTTGGGGTCGTTTTGTACAAAAATATTGTGAGTAAATGAACCATTTATTTTTATTGAATTCACCAAAAAATAATGTTTAGGTGAGATGTCACCTCTTCACCTATAATATATTTTTGGTCATTTACACTCATTTACGAAGAAGTTATGACAAAGCATTTACGATGAAATCTTGACAAGGCATTTACGAAGAAGTTATGACAAGGCATTTACGAAGAAGTTATGACAAAGCATTTACGAAGAAGTTATGACAAGGCATTTACGAAGAAGTTATGACAAAGTCACGAGGGTGAGAAAACAGGTGAAAAAACGGGTGACATCTCACCTCTTCACCTAAATTATATTTTTATTGAATTCAGCACAAAAATCATGAATTTCCTTAAGATAGAAAAAATAAAGTTAGTTTTTATTTTATTTATTTTTTTATCCTGTATGTAAGAACAGTAATGTCAACATTAGAGAACACAACAACTGCTATCGTTCATGAAGCCATAAATGAAGAATACGAATACATACAATATAACAAACAATTGAGACTCATTCGTTCAGTCAAAGATGATATGTATCAAATGCAAAGTATAATGAACGCTCTTCGTTCTACAAAGCAAGCATATCATTGGTTTGAAAACCAACAGGCAAAAGAACTTTTAGAAGAATTTCCTCATATGATTGCTTCCCTCGGAAAACCGAGGGAAGAGATTCCGTACGAAAATCGCAAGAATTTGGCTCCTGGTTTGAAAGGTTATTATGTTCATAGACTTTTAGTAAATGCTGTAGCAATGTGGGCTTCACCTCGTTATGCTTGTTATATTTTCATGATGTTAGATGAACTATATAAAGCAGAACGTGGAGAGATGGAAAAGAAACTTCAAGCAAAAGATGAAGTCATTGAATCCAAAGACAAAAGCATACAGAAAAGAATACCACGTTCAGTACCAAAAGGAAAGGAAAAGAGTTATAAGTATATGATTTATACTGAAGAGTTGGAGAAAGAAGAAGATAGAGATATGGTTATGTTGCATTTAGTCAGAAGAAACAACAAAAGCTTTTACGACCTTGCTAAAATATATAAATCTGACAGAAACTGGTTCTATCGTGAAAACTTACCGATTTCAATGACACCGAATGAGCAAATAAAGGAAATTGTCAAAAATACTCTTCCTCAAACACACTATGACATCAAAGGTTGCACAATACTTACCTTCAAAGAAGACTTACATTACTGAAGGAAAAAATAACAGAATATTTCGATAACTTCAAGAGGAAGAATGAACAAAAATATATTTTTGGTTAAATAGCTTCAGGGTCAATTTCTTCAACCATTTCACTTCCTTCGTCAATGTCAATTGAAGCTTCTTCAACCTTTGGTAAGAACTTTTGTATAACATCTTTGTTCGTTATTGTCTTCAGAGATGAAGGATAATATTTCACATTTATTTCACCCTTCTTATATTCTTTCTGTTCGGAAAGATTTAAAGCAATACTGAAGAAGTCAATGTTGGAGTTCTTTATAACAGTATAATGAGTATCTTTGACATTCACGAAGAAACCCTTTTGTTTCAAAACTACTGCTAACTCTTGTGAAGTATAACGTTTGCGGTCAATGACAATAGCTAATGGTCTGACATACTGACCGAACTTAGATTCTTTCACAAACTTCTTGTTAAAGATAACATTGACGTTTGAAGCACCATTGAACTCATTCTTGATGGCAGTAGCGAGAGCATTGTATGAAAAGAACTTGCAATCTTGCATGTGTTTCATTAAAATAAAAATATTAAATTATTTTGAAAAATAACTTAAAAAAATCTAAGTTTATTTTTTCGAAAAAATATTTTTTTATTTCCTACTAAAGATGTATCGGAAGTTGTCTAAGTTAGAACACTCAGAAATAAAACAACTTCTTACAGAAGCTAATATAGATGTTGCAAAGCATTACGCAACAAACAAAAAAGCACTCGCTGACTTCATTAAAGACTATAATGGTGCAATAAGTTATGATAGAATTCATGAGTTCATAAAGCCGCAACGCGGCGAGGACGAAGTCCATGCAAGAGCATTTCCTTTAAATGACATTGCTATTGACTTATATCATAGACGTTCAGTACCTCATGAAGTAAGAAGAGAAATGTTTGACATAACAAATGCAAACGTTGGTGAAACAAGAAGAAGAGACGACACACTGAAACAACAGAGAAGAGAGATGTTTAAAAGTGCTATAGAACAAGTTCGCAAAGCTAACGATGTCATTCGTTCCATTGACGACAAACCAAAAGAAGGTGAGAGATGGTTAAAGAAAGATGAAGAGAATAGGAAGAGAAATGTGAAGTCAGGCAATAGACTCATTGACTTTAACATCGAAGCTTTAGATGAACCAAACAGAGAATATTTACACAAACATTTCGGTAAGGTTTTCATGAGACTCTTAGAGAAGATTAAAATAAACTCGCAACAAAGATGGATGGTATGTTATAAACTTGGTGGAAAGTATGAATGTTCTACGTTAAACCTCAATAATATTGGAACATTACTACATCAGCTCTTGAAGGAGAACTTTATATCAGAGATAGAAGCAAATGCTGCAGGTATTGTTGAAATGCACTATGACTTCTTCTTGACAAACATAAAGAATCTTACTGAAATAAAGATGTATGATTTAACAGAATATGAAGGCTTAACGATGTCAGATGTAAAGAAAGGCAAACCAAAAAAGAGACCATATAGAGATGAAAGCACACTGACAAATGACCAGAAAGCCATTTTGGAAGCTCTTAAGCAACAGGAAACCCAGCACTTATAGAAAGCTTTTGGAAAGATAATGGTGAAAAGAAGTTTTATAAGAAGAGAAGCGGTCAGTTATGGAAGTATCTTTGCACATTACCTATAAATCTTGAACGCTACCAAATCTTCAATGAACTGAACAAAAGAACTGCAATACTTATGACAGAGGACAATTGTTTCGTTTATGCTTGCATTCAGGCTGGAGTAAATGAAGAAACTATTGACCACATGAGAGAAGTCATTCGTGTTAGAGACTTTCCTCAAAGTAAAGTACAAGAAATTTCTGACGCAACAGGTATAGCATTTAATGTTACCATTGGTTATTTCAATGACTCAAGACATAATGAAATAAAGAGATATATACCAAAAGAATGCGAAACTGTTAGAACTATTGACTTACTTCTTGTTGAAGACCACTACATGCTAAATGAAAGACTTCCAATGACAACATACTTCATTCGAAACTATAAAGAAATTCTCAAAGCTTGTGGTGGAATGAACATTGAGAAACAGATGAAGATTTATACAAAGAGAGAAGATAAATATGTAGTTCGTTATGATAGAACAACACCGTTATGGGATGTTATGAAAACATTGTGGGAGTGCAAATATTTCGAACCTATTTCTTATGGAGAACTTTTCACATATACTACTGACTTATATAAACAGAACCTTGCACCATTTAAAGATTTGACATATGCTCCAAAGTATTGTGTACAACTGAAGAAGAAAGCAGAGTCAAAAGAAGTAAATAAAGCTAAATGTAAATTCATTCCTGAGCACGTTTTCTTTGCTGACTTTGAGTGTAGTACGATGGCTTTCATAAAGCTTTTAACATCTGTTATGACAGTGAAGATGGTTCAGTGAGTGAAAGCATTTGGGGTCAAAACTGTGCAACAGAATTTTTGGAAAGACTTCCTGACAAGAGTTTAATATATTTCCATAACCTCAGTTATGACATAAACTTCATCTTAAGACACATGACAGAAGTGAAAGGAACTCCCATCATTAAAGGTTCACGAACAATGCAAATAACTGGCTTATATAAAGGACGGGCAATTATTATAAAAGACTCTTACAGTGTTATAAATAAGAAGCTTAAACTATTTCCTGCTATGTTTAACTTACAAACAGGACCGAAAGAAGTATTTCCATATAACTACTACAGCAGTGTTTTGTTAGCAAATGACAACAGAACTGGTGTCATTTCTGAAGCATGTAAGTTTATCCATGATGCAGATACATTTATGAAGAACATAGATTCCATCAAAGGTTGCAGAATAGATGAAAACCACTTCGACTTAGAAAAATATAGCACGTTTTACTGCAAACAAGATGTAAGAATTTTAAGAGAAGGTTTTGTAAAGTTCTGCAATGACTTATTGAAAGAGTTTGATTTAAACGTTTATGACTACGTTAGTATTTGTTCTATTGCTAACAAATTGTTTGAGAACAGAGTATACTTCCCGAATGGAAATCTTTATGACCTCTCAAATAAACCAAGAGAATTTATTTCGAGATGCATTCAAGGTGGAAGATGTATGTTGTCAGATAACATGAAACAAAAGAGCAAAAAGAAACTCATTGCTGACTTCGACACTGTTTCATTATATCCTTCAGCTATAGCAAGACTTTATACTTTAGAAGGTATTCCAAAAGTATTGAAGGATGAGATGTTAAGCACAGAGTATCTCATGAGACATTTATTCGATGATGACCAAAAGGAACCCATTGGTGAAAAGTTTATGTCTGGCTTCTTTGTTCTCATTAAGATAACAGAGATTGGTATACCCAGACACTTTCATTTAATAGTTTGCGACCCTGAACTAAATCCAGAACTTAACGTTCCAAGAAGTTCAAACACTTGCTGTCTCATGCATGTTGACCATATAACATTACAAGACCTCATAAAATATCAAGGTGTCAAATGTGAAGTGTTGCAAGGATACTATTACGATGGAAACAGAGATATGAGAATAAGAGATGAAGTAAAGAAGTTGTTTGAGTTAAGGTTAAAGTATAAGAAAGAAGGAAACCCCTTACAAGAAATTATAAAACTCATTCTGAACAGCATTTATGGCAAAACTATTCTATCTCCTATTGAGTCAAAAATAACCATAGTAAATGACAAAGATGCTATAAGATATGCTATAAGAAATTACAACCATATAGTGAAGTTCGAAGGTTTGGATGGTTCAGATAAAACTATTTTCAAGCTAACGAAAAGCATTTGCAGACACTTTAACTTCTGTCCACTTGGTGTTAATATTCTGTCTATGTCAAAACGTATTATGAATGAAGTATTCTGTACTGCAGAGGACATGGGTCTTCAAATCTTTTACCAGGATACCGACAGTATGCACTTATATAATGAAGACATCCCAAAGCTTGCAGCAGAGTTTAAGAAGAGATATGGTCGCGAACTTATAGGAAAGAACCTTGGTCAATTTCATAGCGACTTTGCAGAAATAACACCTGGAAAACAAAGTTTAGCTTATAAAAGTATTTTCTGTGGAAAGAAGACCTACATAGACTTACTCACTAACGATTTAAATGAAGTTGCATTTCACTGCAGAATGAAAGGCGTGAAGCAAGATGTTATTGCTTTAACCGCTAATGAAATGTTTCCTGAAGCTATACAATGCTATTACAATGAAGATAAGAACATTCACATACCTGTTGGAACATATGACAAAGACTCTGAGTTCAGTTTAATGAAACTTTACAAAGCACTTTATGATGGTCAAGAGATTGCATTCGACTTATGTAAGTCATGTCAACCTTGCTTTGCTGAAAAGTTCAACTTTTCAATAACGACTAAAACAAGCTTTATTCGTAAGTTGAAGTTCTGAGGTCATGGGCTTCGCCCTTGCCGCTAGCGGCTTATTTTTGTCAGCAATGAGGTCATTCGTGATAAAAATAAAGCTAGCGTAGATTTTACAATACTGCGATGGTAGAGTTTAAGAGTTGTGCTTCAATGTAGAGACAGTCCTTATGGTCTGGAGGCAAGAACACTGGACATTTATGGTCATGAGTGGAGAACATGTCTATCCAAAACTCACGATTGAAGCCAGTTAATTTATAGTATTTAGGGTTAGGAAGTGGTGAAGTTCTTGTATGACCAATGAACTCATTTTCAACTCCCTTTTATTTGAATATAATATTGCTTGCTTTCTATCCCAAATGCCAGGTGTTACAATCTTTGAAAATTCATTTTTCCTCGGAAGCATTGCATCATAATTGAAAACATTCTTAAAATCATCACTTGGTTCGGAGATTTGAAATCTTATACGTAATGGATTTTCTTTCTTTTTAGCGACTTCATTGAATGGTGAGAATACAAAATTGACAGTCATGTTCCATCTTCATTTTCATTAAATTCATAATGAAAGTCTATAAGTTGTGGCTGACTACCTTCTTCTTTCAGTTGTGCAAGAAACTCACGTAAAGGCTGTAAAGTTTGTACTTCAATGTTGAACTTTTTCTCGAACATCTCATTAAATGAAATCATACATTGCAACAATGTTGTATCGTCTTTAAAGTATTTGTATATGTGAATGTTTTGGGCGCTTAAAGACTGTTCGTCATTTTCTATCTCGACTTGAAGTATAAAGTCAACCTTTCTGAAAGCACGTGTTATATACATAGATGTTATGCCAATGTACTTCTCTTCATTTATGTTCACAATCCAGTCTGTTGGAAACTTAAACGTTACTCTGTTCCCCTTTATTTTGACGTCAGGGTTTTCACTACTGAACGCAACAGATAAAGGTATTTGTCTATACATTTAGTTCGGATAAAAATAAACCATTTACTCTTTCTTTGCTTCAGCTTCCTTTGCTTTTTGTTCTTCCTTTGCTTTTGCTTCTTCTCTAGCTTTTTTCGCCAGCAAACGTGGGTTCTTTGTCTTCCAGCAGCTAATGCAGCTAGTTGTTTTTCACTAAGTTTTCTCTTTGGTCTCTCTGGCTTTTGTTCTTGTTTTTGTTCCTTCAGTTCGGATAAAATTTGCTCGCGAATTTCTTTCTTCAATGCTTCAACATCTATGACCCCTTGGGTCTTGTCCGTAGACTTGTCTGAGTCATTTGACTGTAGATAAAAAACTAAATTAAAACTTTAACCGATGTAAAATGAGCTTGTCAAAATCAGAGCGAGAGTCTATTATATTAAATGACGCAAGAGGAATACAACATCCTTTCTATTACGTAAGTCAGAGTAAAGATGGTAAAATATACGTAAGAAAAAGAAAGGTTCCATTAGCGAATGCAGAGAGCGACAACATTAAGGTGCATGGCAAGGGTGAAGTCCACGAAGCCCATATAAAACCTTCTGTTCAAACTGAGCCACCAAAGAACAAGAAGAAAAGAAGCCAGATGTACTTTCAATAACGAACCAAGAGCTTATTGCAAAGTTCGTGAATTTCATTGAAAAACAAACCGAGTCAAAGAACCCTGACCCGCCAGTGAAAGAAGTTGAGACAAAAGAGAATGTACAGTTCATTGAAAATGTCAAGAAACAACTTCCACCACGAATGCCAAGAAGAAGAGTGAGAATAATGAAGTAAATAGATATTTTTATCTGAAGTAAATACATGCAGAACGAACAGTTAAACGAATTTACTCCAGCAGAGCATATTCATCAGATTCGCTCATATTTCGATATCATAGACAATGCAGTTCAAATTGGTGACACTAATAGAAAATATTCTGACGCAAAGATTCCATCACAACCTGGAACTGCTAAAGATAACACATGGGTAACATTCAATCTCTCACCTCCTGGTGAAAATATGTTGGACCTTTACAATACATTCATTACGTATAAAATGGAAGGTCAATTTATTGTAGATAAAGAAATTGGTTCAGGTTCCAATAAAACAAACCCACCAGGATTTTGGATTGGTTTCGATGACGCTTTCTATGCAGTTGCTGGATATCAAATCCTTGCAAATGGTCGTATCGTATATTCTCAAGACAACGCAAGAGAAGAAGCATATATAACTTCAAACTCACAAACTACCGAACAAATAAAGAAAGTAGATGTTTTTCAAAGACTCGACATGAAGATGTATGGAGTCATTCGGGAACATGCAGAACAGGACAAATTGTTAGTGGTCCAATTACAGCAGGAAAATCATTTGATTTTAAGCTTCGTTTAAGAATTCCTGTTAGAAGATTCCTTCCATTAGAAGCTATTCGATTTATTCCAGCTTTTGCAGGAAACATTCAGCTTAAAGTAAAGTTCAGTAGCGACGCCTTACAATGCACATCTATATCTGTAAATGATATCATTGCTTTCAATCCAACTCTTAAAGTTGCATTTGCTTCAGATTCAAATCCACCGACAAATAAATTTGTTCCATGGAATGAACCATTCACTATGATAACGAAGGCAGTAGAAGCTAGTGGAACAGTTACTATTACAACTGTAAACCAGCAACTATTTCGAACAAAGATGGATTTTAATGAATGTTTCATTCATCCAAAGTCATTCTCTTTAGACCCTAACATTTATACAGAACTTGTAGAACATTATACAAACGAGGCTTTATGTTTTCCTGTTAAAGTTATGGATTGGATTCCTATGGACGGTTCATTCTCAAAGAATACAGATAGTTCAAGTGCAACATTTACAGCAGCTTATACGCCTATTAATGTTAAAAGTATTTGGGCACTATTTAGAAAGAAAGACAACTATTATGTTAATTTTGAGAACCCTAAGTTTAAATATCTTCAGCTTTCCATGGGAGCTTATGGAAATATGCCTGCAGAACCTGAAAAATCATATGGACCTGTATTTTATGAAATGGTTGCGAACGCTTGCAATACAAACAATGATATGATAGGATTTAATGAAGATGTTATGAGGTCATTGGTGGATGATGGTAGTGTGGAACATAAATGGGATAGCTATGACAACACACATTTCTTATGTGGTTTTCCAACAGAAGTGGACTTTTGCTTCCAGCAAGGTCAAACATCTACTGCTCCAATAACATACAAATTGTCTGTTAAAGGACCTATTGAACTAGCAACTGAAAACGTACCAAAGCCACTTATTGGATTTATGAGGGATTGTTGCTTTGCAATACAAGTAAGACAGTCAGGCATACCAATAATAAGACTTGACGACTATAACTTAGCACGGACGACAGTGAGGAATAAAGGATGAACGTTTATTTTTAAAGCTTATAAATGAGTTCTTCATCAAGCTCTCGTGAACCTTCACCATCTATGAAACAAACTTTACCAAACGATTATGGAGCACCTATTGAATATTTCTTACGAGCTGCACAATGGCAAAGAGCAGTTTCACCAAGGTTAGGTGTTCCACCAGCTCCTGTCAAAAATAGCATTTGGTCAAGTCCTTATATAAGATATGGTCTCCCACTAGGTTTGCTAGCTACAGCAGGAGCAGTTATGATGTTGAAAAGAAATAAAGCAAATGTTATAAATAATACTGAAGTAGCTGAAGTTAAACAAACTCCAACCTTCGCAAAACCAACGCCTTCACAAGCAAAACCTTCAATGACTCCTGAACCTATGGAAGTACAAACTCCTGTTCAAAAGTCAACTCCTAAACCGACTCCAACATTTAAACCAGAACCTACTCCTCAAATAAATCGTAAAACTCCTGCGTTTCCTTACTGAAAAATAACGTTATTTTTATTTAATATTAAATTTTTATTTGATTGAAATGACGACTAAAGTCACTGAAGCAATGAAACAAAAGTTTTTGGTAGAATACATTAAATCAGGAGCGGTTCCAGAAGGTTTTTACGTTCATACTATGAAGGATGGTAGAGTTCAGTTTAGAAAGATAAAGCAACCATTAGATAGAGAAGGTATATTAAGGAAGATTAAACTTCATGAGGACAACATTGCTGAACTTAGGAAGAAGTTAGAAGAGTTGGAGAAAGGAAGAGAGTTATAAAGCAATGAATTCATGAGGTGAAAAAAGAGGTGAGATCTCACCACTTCACCTAAATTTATTTTTGGGCTATGTTTTCATACATGTGAGGGTGGTGATATCATTAATTTTTAAGTTTATTTTTTTATTTTATTTTTTATTTTATTTGGATGTAAATGACGAAAACTATTGAGATAACAAACTACAACAGTCATGAGTTCAAGAATTTGTTCTTCGTTCCTCGTGAAAATACATTCTATCAGATACGAGGGAGAAAGGGTAAAGTTAGTTTGAGCGTTTATGACAACAAACATAATGGGAGATATATAAAAGCAATAGATACAAACGGTAAGCGTGTTTCATTAGCTTTGTCAAAACTTACTAACATTTATTTTGACAGTGACTTTGACTCTGACGATTGGAGTGACAGCAGCGATACTGAAGAATATGAACTATTGTGTGAAGCACAGCAATGGGAAGCGCTGCAATACTTTTGTAAGTGAGAACATTAATGGGAACGTTAGTGAGAACGTTTATTTTTCATTAGTGAAGTCGTTTGTGAAGTCATTAGTGAAGTCATTTATGTGTCAGATGGTTTTGTAAATATTTAAGGTTAAGTTGGTGTTATGGTTGTGTTGTAAAATATACGTTACCGGTTTCGTAAAGTGTCAAACCGTTAACTTGGGTAAGGTGGAACGCAGTGCCGCCGTACCCAAGATAGGGATACTAACTACGTATATGGAGAGGATGAAAAGTAAAAATTAATTTGTGGGAAATAATGAGCCATAGCTGCCTGAAATCCTTTATCACCATCACCCCTTATATTATCTACTCTTTCATGATCTAGTAAGTATTGAATAGCTCTTCTTGTTTCCTGTTCTGTTTTCCCTTTCACCGGAATGCAATATAAATATCTGGTGTTAATGTTAATGGTAAATAAATAAGTAACTTTTCCTTTTGAATATTCCAGATGATCAATTTCGTATGAATATGGATATGGTGCAAATGAAGGGCGACTAAATTTTTCCTTTAACGGTTGAATTTTTGGGTCAATTGGTTTATTTAATATCTTGAAATCCTTTTTAAAATCTTTTTGTTTCTTTAATGTTTGAAATGGATATAATAAAGTGAATGATGAAAGATTAACTGAAGGAGGAGGTACTACTGTTGGAGGTTTTGGTGTTGTAAGTGGTTTAATTTTATCTGCTTTGATTTTGGATGATGAAGTTTTGGATTTCATTCCTCCTTTCATTAATTCTGGATGTATTCTATTCATTTGTTTTAAATATGCTGTATATAAAGGTTTAATATACTTTCCCGCTTCGAGTTTATGTTGAAGGATGAATTCCAAAAGTTGATCTTCATTTAAAAGTCGGGCTGAATATGGTTTAACTAATGAATCATAAATTAAAGCTTGTGCATCATTTATGGTCTGAAGGACCTGGGCGTTTTGCACCTTTTGTTTTTGCTTCTTTTGCTTTTGCGGCTCAGGATTATATAATTTATATAATTTATATAATTCATCAATATCTTCTTCTGTTAATACTTTATTTTTGAAATCTTTCAACTGTTTAAGTTGTGATTTAGTTTTTCCCTTTGTATATTCATTATTTTTAATTTTGTCTTTAATTTTAGAAATTATTTTATCATGATATTTCAAAATTTCATTTTTATAATACGAATAATAATAATCTATATCATCACCCGTTATATTTTTATTATGTTTTTGGAGATATGCTTTTAAATCATAATAATCAAGAAAATTTTGATTAAATACTAAATCATCAATTAAATTTTCTAAATCTACGCTATTCATTTATATAAAAATAAAATAAGTGTTTTAAGGGTGCCCGCCTCTTTGAATCATAGTATCAAAACCATTATTTACGGTTCCTTTTGTCTCTTCTGTGGCATTTTATTAAATAAATGGCATACAACACCCATTTTCACAACATACAGCCTTAGTGTGTGCTCCTGTTAATGCAGTCTTACCAATTGTTAAGCGAGTCATTGACCCGTTTTTAAGTTGTAAATTAATATTCTGACCATCAAATATCACTTTATCATTTATTATATCCAAATAATTTTTAGGTGTTAATTGTTTATTTTGTCGTAAACTAACACCTTTCATTTTTTGTGCAATCTTTTTAAAATCACCCATCAATTGAACCGTTGAATGATGTATAACACTTAGGCATAAAGCAACCATGTTATCACCTTGTTTCTCAATTGCTAAACCCAATAACTTCTTCTCATGTGCTTTTTCTTCAGCTTTATTCTTTAATTTAGGTTTAAATTTCTCATAAAACAGAAGAAATCAAAAGGTGCGAATTTGTAAATGTTTTTATCATAAAATTTTATCGGTTACAATTGCTTGAAATGCTTGAGTGTAGGAAGATTTGGGTCGCCAGCGATTGCCCAATAAGATGAATCAGTATCACCTTCAATGAAATGAAAACGATTAACATCCATGCATTTATACATAAAATCATAAATGAAAACCAAATACCAGTATTTGCGTTATCTAAAGTGAAGAATGCCTCTTGTAAACATGTATCACATCTATAAAATCTATCTTTAAGCATCACTTGATACGTATCCTCTCCTATTTCTCTTATGTTTTTAAACTTATTTGACATACATGCAACGCGTGCCTTCTGTGCATTCATTATTTTAGTCTTTGCGTAATTTTGTGTATTCATTGCATCGTAACCATATGATCCATTAAGTGAAATCTTGCAAAATAAACTTTTTCCTTTATTTCCTTCTAATTCAGCCTTTTGTCTTTCGTTCATAAATTCATTCGCAAATTCATTAAAACAAGTATTTTTCGTAAATGTTAAAATTGATTGAATGTCATCAATGATAAAATGAAATCTGTCTATTAGATACCAAAGATAATAAGAAGAAAATGGTTGATATTGGTTGTGTGTTGATGCTAACTGAGTTAATTTCCTCTGTTTCTGGTCAACTGGTAGATTGTTTGATTTCATGTAATTATACATAAAACCACCAATTGTTTTTTCATCTGTGATAATATCTAAGTTTCTTATTATCGGTAAAAAGTTTATGTAATCATTAATGTATTTTTCATCAATGTGACCCTTTACTTCAGCCACGAATAAAGTATTTTTCTTCTTAATTATTCCCAGTGCTTTTGCTTTCTTTGTTGCTGTATCACAAATGATAACACCATTCAATCTTCCCGGCATATACATTTTATGGTCAGTATATTGAATGAAATCATGAGGATTAGATGAAAATGATGAAGGATATAATGAATTAAAGTCAACACCAACGAAATGAGTCATAATGTTGGTGGTGTCCTCATTTGATACAGTTTTAGTTTCTGGATTATATGAAAGTTTATTAATGTGCGTGATTCCTTTAAGATTTACTCTATGTTGAACATTTGATAAACCACCAGTAATTCCATTACGGAGGATGTGATAAGCTTCAACTGAATCTAGAGTCATTGGTAAATTATTTTTTAATGCATAATTTCTTAAATTGATTCTTAAACGTTGAACATCTTCATCTTTATTTGATTTTACGACATTGCAATAACAACACATTAACTGACAATTTTCTTTGGTATGTGGTTTTTCATTATCGATTCTATCAATGTTGGTTTATTAGCATATGTAAACGCTTTACCACACATTTTGCATTTAGATGAAAGGATTAAATCGTGATAGTATTGATAGTCATCCATTGAAACATTGTTTTTAGTATCCCTTTCTGCTTTTTCATCTTGTTTCTTATATGAATCAATTTTATATTTCCAATACTTTTTTGTTAATTCAAAACTTGATTCCACATTTTCTTCTTCTGGATATGTTTCGTTAGGATTGAAGTTCTTATATGCTAACGCGTAACGAATCATTGATGCATTCGATGATAAAGAAAGATTATGAAGCATGTCAATTTTATAAACAAATGTTTCTTCAATAATTTTATCAATTGGGTCAATCATAATTTCAACGTCTTTATTGCAATAATGAATAAAATATTCTAATCTATTCTCAAAATTTTTAGCATCATTGAGATATATTTGATAATCTGAATCGGATATTGTTTCTTGAGTTAATGCTGAATAAAATGAATCTTGAGTGAATGGTTCCACTTTATATAATTCATCTTCGTAATTCTCCCATGTGATGAATTGATAAGGGAAAAAGGATTTAACACGTGATTTATTGTTTCCGAAATCTTGAGTGAATTGGTCTAATGTTCCACCCGCTATATAATTTCTGATGTCAATAAATCTTAATTCATATGGACAGTTTGTTTTCTTTACAATGATTTGCTTAAATTGAGAAGAAGAACCTAGCATTGATTTTATTTTCCATTTTGCAGTGTTTAAATCACGAAGAATTAAATTTAAATCAAACTTTCCCGAATTAAAACCTATGATATTCACTTTATTGAATTCCTCATCTAGAAGTTCTTTAAATGCTTCCTTCTGTTTTTCATTTAATGTATGGGACTTCATTAATTCTTCATATTGTTCAATATTTGATTTAGCAACTAATGAACAGGTTGAAAATAAAAACTCAATCCAATCAGAAATAAAAGAATCACTCGAAGTTAAGCAAAAATTCCTCGTATATGTTTTATCGTTTAATTTAACCGTTGATGATACCATGAATGGTTTTAAGTAAGCGTTTAAAGTTGCACACTCAGAAAGTTGTAATTCTTCTTTAGTCTCTAATGTTTCGAAGTCAAAAGTAATATAATATCTTGTTGGTTTATAATATTCCTGCAAATTATGTGCTAATAGCCATTGATATATCTTCTGTTTCGTAATATGTGGTGCATATGGTTGTTGTGTGTTTTGCAATTGAACGTCTTGAATTAATCTTCCATTATTTTCTTTACATTTCTCACAATGTTTTAAAAATCTTCTTTGGTTTTTCCTTTCTGGATCATCACGGATAGAATATACTTCTTCTTTGCAAAAGGGGCAAACTTTATATCCTGTGAGTGCTTCAACGTCTGTTATTCTGTCAGCGTGAAGTTTTCCACATGGACTCTGTGTTAATAAAATATTTATTGTTTCAAATTCTGGATCTATCATTATTGAATCCACTAATGGAAAGTCTACCTTGTTAATGTCTACGTCTTCTGGTTGAGGATCACAATAATAGAAATCAATATTAACATTTAACATTCTTGCTAACCTCTCACTTTCTGATGAAATGTCAAATCCTTCATATGCATCTATGGCTTCATTTAAATAACTTCTACGAGTTTTAGGATTAACACCATCAGGAATGTTATAGAAGCGTTTAAATAACCTTCTACCTTCGGCTCTAATTTGATTATCATTCATTTTAGCTGTTCCATTTTTGTTCATTTATGTAAGAATAAAAATTAAAAAATAAATAAAAATAAAGTTTATTTTTTAAAGTCCGAGACTCAGAGAGTCCAGGGCTAAAGTCCATAAAATGAATTAAGAACACATAAATTTTTATCATCTGCGACGTGACGAATACATTTTAATTTACTTAAGAATGCGTACCCTGATACATTAAATCTAATTCCTGTCTTATTTAATTTCACAACTTTGAAAAGGAATGTATGAATAGCTATAAAATGATGAGAAGATGTTTTATGGGTTGCTTCCATTTTTTCTGAAATAAATGAATAAATATAATGTTTATAAGTTTTCATATCTTTTATGTTCTTAATAACGAATGGTATAGACTTTTCCACTTCATCTTCCTTCGGTGCTGTTCTTTCATATGAAACATTATTAGTATCTTCAATAATGAAACCACAATCGCATAAAATTTTATATGTACCAATTGTTTCTTTTGATATTTTATCTAACAAATCAAAAACTTTATCAACACCTGTACATTTATTTAAATAATAATTTGTGTAAATATCATGGTCTTCTTTCTTAATCGTATTTGTTGCATATGTTACATTTTTCAGTGCTTTTTTGAATTTTTCAGAATCAAGAGGAGGTGAAAGTAATATACATGGATAATCTCCATCGTCAATAAATTGTAACTTATGTTTATGAATAAATTTTGTGCCTTCTTCTGAAAGTGTTTCATCTATTTCACCATCTAATAAATTTTTAGTAGATTCCAAAAAGTAATTTTTATATCTTTCTTCATGAGATTTTTGAACTTCTGATTCTGAAGCTGGGATATTCATTAAACCCTCTACTTCATTCTCATTATATTTTTCAACTTCTCTTAATTCCTTAATTTTTTCATCTATTTCATCTCTTATTTTTTCCAGTCTTTCAATTTCATCATATTCATCATCTTTAATCCGTTCTTCATAATATTCAGGGAAAACATCAGGTTCTTTAGGTTTTTCTTCTTCAGATGTGGGATATAAGAAATTTATAACATCATCTTTATTCATTTTTCCATCATAATCTAAATCATTTAATAACTCCGCGAATTTTTGACAATTTCTTAAATAATATTTATTAACTTCATAACTCGCCTCCTCTAATATATCCTTTATTTCCTCGTTTGTGAATCCCATTTTTTTAACATTGTTAGTTGTGACACTCATTTATCATTAAATAAAAAATAAATTATTCAAAAAATGTAAGACATGAATTTTTAAAGTTTATTTTTTATTCATGAAAATAATTATTTCTAATTTCTTTTACTCTCTCATACATACTAGATTTGAAGAATTCGGAACTTTTACCATAATCTCCTAAATGTTTTCTTATCCCCAACGTGTGCCAGTTATTATATGAAACTGAATAAACTTTATCTTTATCTTTACACCTTTCATCTCTTCCAATATATTTATATCTCAGTTTTGATTTAGCATTTTCATATTCATTAACGTTTAATAATTCACAGTCTTCCTTTTTAAATTGATGTTTAAGATATTCAGGATTTAATACTCTACGTTTATATGCTCCTAACTTAGTTCTAAAGGTTTTTCTACAAAATTTAGGAATTCCATCCTCTTTAATGTCATCAATGATTTCCATTTCATTATTTTCAATTTCTTCTTCTCGTTTATGAGGTCTTTGATTATGACTCCATTGATTCCATGAAATTAAATATTCTTTATCATTATATTTATACCTCATTAGCTTATTTTGGCTTTCATATTCATTTAATAATTCACAATCTTCATTTTTAAATTGAAGTTTAACCCATTCAGGATTTAAACAATGTTTAATTAATCGCGGAATATCTGACATCATCTATATATAGCTTCTTTTATAAAAGATAAAAAAATAAATTATTTTAAAATTAATGTTAATTTTTTTTAATGATTTATAAATAAATATATTTTAATGCATCGTCTATATATAGATGTAACAAAAAAAGTCACACAACCCGCACTCATATACTACTTACCTATTTTTTTATTTGAGGTATAAATCGAGAACCTTCTGAACTGCAGCAGTAATCTGAGGAGATGTTCCCTTGATCTGAACGTTGCACTTTCCGTTTTCGATGAAGAATCTGCAGAGGATACCCAAAACACCACCTTCAGCGTTGATAATTCCAGCACCGCAAACGTTGCCCGGTGGAACTTGCAATGGCAAAACAGGGACCTTGAAGACAGATGTCATTACCTGCTTCATCTGGTTTGTTGGGTCTCCAACTGGGTTGAATGAAGCAGTTGCCTGTTGAGCAGGAGAAGTCAACTGTCCCCAGCGAGCGAAGAAGTTGTTGTAGTCCATGTTGAATGGAGCAGTGAACTTGAAGATGTTGAATGGCAAGTCTAAGACCTCGTTGTGGCTCTGTTCGCTCCATGTGTATCTGAGTGTGTATGACGGTGGGTCGATGAATGGTTGCCTGACTCTCAAAGCGAACTGGAAAACAGTCATCTCTCCGCGGTTGATCTGTGTCGCGCCTGGTTTGGACTGGACAGCAAGGAATGGAACTGGTGGAATGTGGACACCGACGTTTGTGAGGATTCCTCCTGTCTTGTTCTGGATGTTGAATGAAAGAATGGCGTTTGGATGGTTGACTTGGATCGAGAGATTGACAGCGATGTTGGCATCTTCGAAGCAGAGACCTTGGTCGTTCGCCAAGAAGTGCTTCTTGATGGCTTCCTTGTCGTTGAGTGGTGCTGGGACATTGGTGACTGGTGCGGCGCTGAGTAAGTCTGTGACGGCGTTCTGTGGTGTTGCTGGAGCGCCAAGTCCGAAATCTGTTGGCTTGGCAACTGGTTTCGGCTGTGCTGGTGCTGGTGCTGGAGAGCCGAGGCCAAGGAGATCCATTGCGTCGGCGTTGTTCTTTGGCTCTGGTGCTGGAGCTGCTGCTGGTGCTGCTGGGGCGGCCTTTGTAGGAAGCTGTGTAACGAACTTGGATGGGTCTTCCTCGTTCTTGTCCTCTTCGTCTTCCTCTTCGAGGCCTTCTTCGGCCTGTTCGAGCATGACCTTACGTAATAAGGAGGACTTCTTGTTCTCGAACGGTGGAATTGGCTTGAAGACGGCTTGCATGACTTGTGGTGGGGCGTTGAGAATTGTAATGTATTCGATTGCACGCTGTTGGATGTCGATATTTGTGGAGGATGTCAATGTCTGGATGAATTCAAGGACTGTCTGCTTGCCTGGTGGGTACTTGGCACCGATCTTGGCAAGAGCTGTGATGATGATGCCCTTGGAAATGTCAGATGCGATCTTGTACTTGGCAATGAGTTCCTGGATGACTTCTTCTGGTCTGATATCGGTGATTTGGATGTATTCACCAACAAGCTGGGCTGTAAGAGCGATAAGTCTGTCGTGTGGGTTGTTTGCGCACATTGATCCGAAAGATGTCATTGTTGCGTATCTCTGGAGTGACTGGACGTTGGAGACGACCTGGATAACACGGTGCCAGACACCATCGGAGCACTCATCACCGGCCATTGTGATCAATTGAAGAACAACATCAACGAACCAGGCTGGATCTTCAGCGAACTGCTCGGCCATGACGGCGATCTTGAGGCAGAGTGGTTCTCTCATTGTAATGTCTGCGAATCTGAGGTAGTTCAAGAGTTCGTGGACAATTTCTTCGGCTGACTCCTTTGTGCAGACAGCGAAGAGTAATGAAAGTGTTCTGCGGCGGATGGAGTTATCTGGGTCACGAAGAGCAAGGTAAAGTGTCTGTCTGTGCTGGTCAAGAGATGGAATGATCGAAGGATTGGCCTGGACAAGACGTGTAAGTGACTCGAGAGCTAAGTAGCGGACGTTGGAAAGCTTGGCGTTAAGGAATCCACCAAGGATTGAAGCGGAACGCTGCATAAGTTGGTTGGAGAATTGGCGAGCAATGATGAAGTTGATTGCTTCGAAGAGTAAGATGAGGTTGGAGTGGACTTCCTTGGCAGCAAGGGATACATCTGTCTTCTGGAGGCAGTTGTCGAGAATTCTTGTAATTCTGTCGGTTTCTGACTCATCCCAGTTAGTCTTGTATTGGAGAATACGCATATACTTGAGGATAAGCCATGGAGCTGGGTTGCGGCCGTATAAGTAGTCTGGAGAAACAGTTCCATCGAAGAAAATCTTTCCGAGCTGCATGAGAGCTGTTGGAAGGACAAGAGCCATCTTATCGGAATAACGCTGGAGGAGGATCAAGATAAGGGAGGCTGCGGAAAGCTGGACACCATAGTTCATGCTGAATAAGAGCTGATTGAGGCCTTCGATGAAAGTTGGCTCGAGCTGGATGACGGATGGTGTTTCGCGGTAAAGACGGCAAAGAGCAAGGCATGCTGTCTTCTTAACGAAGTCGGAGTTCTTTGGATTGATCAAAGCCTGAAGAATTGGGCCTGAAAGTGCTTCAGCAATTTCGCGGCCACCGATGTTAGCAGCAGCGGCGATAGCAAGGCACTGGCCTGGTTCGTTTTCTTGATTACGAATTTCTTTACGGAAATGCTCGATGAACATTGTGACAAGGTCGTAGTTACCATTTAAGTAAACACCGAGTGTGATGTAACCGATCTGCTTTTCAGAAAATACGTTTGAAGCAACCAATTCGACCATTTGTGGGAAACCGAAGTCAAAGGAGTAGCCGAGAAGGTGGATATAAAGAAGCTTAGCTACGTATTTCTTACGGCTGTAACCATTGAGGCCGGATTTGCCGAAACTCTGGCGAATCTTTGCGAGTTCTTTCTTAACACGGGCAACTTCTTGTTCCTTGGACTGGCACTCGAGAATTTCAGTAATGAAGTTCTTGAGACCATTGATGTTACCTATAATAAATATTAATAAAGAAATTAAAAAAAAATAAAAAATAAGAACATGTTTAAGAAATTACGAAATACATTTTGGATCAGTGTTCATTGGGGAAAGTTGTATTTCTGATTCTTTGAGGCATTCTAAGTAATCTCGAAGTGAATTTTCTTTATCAAGATCACAGAATTTGGTTCCTTTAATAAAGCATCTCGTCATGTCAGGACGAATGAAAGTGACATCGAAGGTATCTGTGAATTGAATCGCCTTAGAGAAATCTGTTAAACAATCAATAACTTCTTCTGGTGCCTTTTGGTTTTTTAGAAATTTTAAGATTATGTTTTGGAGAACAAAGCTGAGTTCACTAGCCATATCTGTTGTGTAAAGACGCAAAGGATGATCATATTCAAAAAGTAAAGCATCAATTGCTCGCCTAGCAATGAATTCAAAATCTTGTTCATTGAGATCAACTCCTCGTGTAAACGGAACAAAACTATACACACCAAAAAAGCCAATATTTTTATATGTGTTTTCTTTTGGTATTTCAATTTCTCGTAAATATTTTATTACATATTCTGGAATGGAGATCGAGATAGTTGGGTTGTCATATTCAAATGGATCAGTAAAATCAACCTTGTAAAAGTCGGATTTTTCTAGAAGTTTAATGTTTCGTTTGTTGTTTTTGTTGAACCATTCTATGAATCGTGGTGCCCTCCATGAGTAGTACAATCCATATACGAAATTAAAAATTGCTTGTAGAGGGGAAAAAATGGAAATCATTTTCTGGCAATGTCAAGATTTTGAAAATTTTCCTTTGGTTAATAACTGTGAACTTTACAAAATTTGCAAGACATGTATCATAAAATAGGACGAAGAATCAAGTAAATATTTTACAAATAATAAAAGGGTGTCCAACAAAAAAATGAAAATTTTGGGTGACACTATTTAAGCATTTTCTCGATGAATATAATGTTCTGTAAGAACTTTCTACGAGAGATATATGGGGAGTATAATATGCCATTGATTCATATGAAGCATCTGAATGAACGTCTTTGATTATTGAATATATCTTTGATTTACAAAATTTTCAAACTAATCCGAAAAAAATAAATGACAATAATAGTGGATTGTTTTATTAATATTTATAACGAGAAATTTTTGGAACTAATTTTTTAACATTGGTTTTTTGAAACCAATAGTATTACAAGAACATAGTGTAATAGGATAATTGGTTGGTGATAGTAAGAAGTAAATCCTAACTTAGGATTTTGGGATACGAATTTGATTTTGATACTCATAGGATGGAAACAGGTATTCATATATGCATAATGCATTAATGGTTTTGTATGGTTGGTTGAATGGATTAGAATAATAGAATAAAATACAGAAATGATCATTTTGCAAATTATGGGAATGTGATAAGAATAAATCTTTAAATTTTGCAACATATAATAATCGAACATAAACAAGCATATTTATTGAAATAAATTCAAAATTTCGATTCGAACGTCATCAAATTTCAGGTACCTTCGAATTAATTAAATAGTAACAATAAAATCGAATTTGAAAGTTATAATGCTGTCTCAATCGTTATAATTAATTTTTTAGTGGAAAACTCCCAGGGTTCGAATCTATGAGACACTTCGTTTTTTCCAATTTGTTGGAGTTGAGATTTTAAAATCGTAAAATAATATTATCAATGAATCCTCATTAGCATAAAGAATCATTTACTTCTCGTCATATAAAAACAGAATACACAATCAAGAAAAAATTAAAAACTTATTTAATTGCATTATGAATTGAAATGCAAAAAAGAGCTTTAGAATATTATAGGCGATATATAATGTATTGCAATTAATTTATGATTGAAAAATGAATTTTATTGAATGACGTAAGGATATAAGGTGCAAGATTGAGATTATTAAATGTGTAAAAGGATATCTATAATATATAGAGTAGAGATGATGATTAAAAAATAAAAAAAATAAAAAAAAAAAGAAAATTGTAATTAAACTATATTATTCAATTCTTCAGTATTGAAATGGTAAATAATGAGAGATAATATTTAAAGAAAAAAGGGAGTATTTAAAAAAAAAGGGGAAAATGTTATAGTATAATTAGATTGAGGGGATATGAGCGAAATGATAGAGCAATGCAGACAATTGTGTTTGGTTCTATCATACCGAATACATTGCAAGTGCATTGTGCCCGGATTCGTTCAAATTCTCGCAAACACATTCTGATTGCGAGGATATGAGCGAAATGATAGAGCAATGCAGACAATTGTGTTTGGTTCTATCATACTGGATACATTGCAAGTGCATTGTGCCCGGATTCGTTCAAATTCTCGCAAACACATTCTGATTGCGAGAATTCGACCAACTACGTAAAACACTAAAACTTATTTTTACTATATCATTTTATTTGACATCAAATCTTTTTGTACTTCTATTATATTTAACATTTATATCAATCAATTGCTAAATCAGAGATAATGAACCAAAACATGGATTGCATTTTCAAATTTAGCAATTTCTGAATACTTGATTAATCTCAATAATGCCTGCCTTTCAGTATTCAAGTAATAAATTACTAATTAGAACAAATATAAGTGAAATAAGTCGGTGAAAACGAGCATCATTTGATATTACAAACAATTATTCGTAAATTTCTGTAATGTATGTTCGAGGAGATATATTCATTGATTTTTCTAAATGTTTATAAGTTTTTTGAGTCAATAGCCGAAGAATCTAGATTTCCTAGCATGAGTATGTTAAGTGGGCAGTAGAGAAATTGAGTAGCAAATCAGGCATTTCTGAATAGAATTTGTTTAAGACAAAAAAAAAATTCTAAATCGAACGCACGACCTTTCTACTCTTCTTTACCGATATACTACAAAGCAATGGAATTTCCCAATCTATTTATTCTATATAATCATTTATCAAAGATTGGTGATTCCCCCGTGATTTTGTGTATCTTCTTTCAATTTTCTCTCATCATTTACATTTTTTGCTTTTTTATTTTTTCATTTATATTCTATTACTAATATTTCTTCTATTCTACGATTTAGATTTTACATAAATACTTTTCTAATTCCAAATTTCTAATTTTATAAAAAATTCATAAAATTTTCCGATCTTTTCCTCAGTGATTTTATATTTCATTTTCCTAAGTTACGTTTCCTTAGTTCTCATAACCGATATAATTCCCAATGGCCCTCTTACGCACACACAGAGTTTCAAGCCAAAATCAATGTTAGATTTTTGTTGGACACCCTTTAATAATAATGTTCATTCAGGTGAGGTGAAGTCAATCCGACCAAAAATTCTAGAATATAATAATTTCCGTTCATTTCATTTTTAAATGATTTATTACTAAATATACTATAAATATTTCCACTCAAAAATAAAAATTGCGAACATTTTGTTTTGAAAGAAATTCAATTTTTTTCAAAGCTTTACAGTCTCCGATAAAAATGACTAAACAATAGAGAATTCAGAGTCTGATTATGATCATAGCAAAATTTTGTAAAGTTCACAGTTATTAACCAAAGGAAAATTTTCAAAATCTTGACATTGCCAGAAAATGATTTCCATTTTTTCCCCTCTACAAGCAATTTTTAATTTCGTATATGGATTGTACTACTCATGGAGGGCACCACGATTCATAGAATGGTTCAACAAAAACAACAAACGAAACATTAAACTTCTAGAAAAATCCGACTTTTACAAGGTTGATTTTACTGATCCATTTGAATATGACAACCCAACTATCTCGATCTCCATTCCAGAATATGTAATAAAATATTTACGAGAAATTGAAATACCAAAAGAAAACACATATAAAAATATTGGCTTTTTGGTGTGTATAGTTTTGTTCCGTTTACACGAGGAGTTGATCTCAATGAACAAGATTTTGAATTCATTGCTAGGCGAGCAATTGATGCTTTACTTTTTGAATATGATCATCCTTTGCGTCTTTACACAACAGATATGGCTAGTGAACTCAGCTTTGTTCTCCAAAACATAATCTTAAAATTTCTAAAAAACCAAAAGGCACCAGAAGAAGTTATTGATTGTTTAACAGATTTCTCTAAGGCGATTCAATTCACAGATACCTTCGATGTCACTTTCATTCGTCCTGACATGACGAGATGCTTTATTAAAGGAACCAAATTCTGTGATCTTGATAAAGAAAATTCACTTCGAGATTACTTAGAATGCCTCAAAGAATCAGAAATACAACTTTCCCCAATGAACACTGATCCAAAATGTATTTCGTAATTTCTTAAACATGTTCTTATTTTTTATTTTTTTTTAATTTCTTTATTAATATTTATTATAGGTAACATCAATATAAATAGTCTATTTAAAATATAATTGTTCCACATATGCAAAGACATAAAAGTCGATGGTATAAGTATCAATAGCTTAGATTATAACAGATCTCTATCAAAATTTTGTCTGAATAATAAATTCAAGTCAATCATAATTATCAAATACACGTTTTTGATCATTTGAATTTATTTGTTGCAATAATTAAGTCATAAATATAAAAAAAATATTGTAATTTGCACGTTCATAGATTGCGGCTTGTTCAATTTGTTATATTAAATTATTGGATAAGTACCTGATCTAAGTACATACTTACAAGGTCTACACATTGATATTATGTTTTATATACTCAGAGGGTGTCAAAAATTTTCTCACTGGGTTTTCGTCTATCAATCCCAGCTCATTATATACGCAACCAATCAAAAATCTGATATGGGAGTCCAAGGCTAACTTTTTGTTGTCTACCTAATAAAAGAGGAAGCAGCATTAGTGAGAATAATCGCAAATATTCAATTTAAATTATCTTTTTATTCTTAATTTAAAGTGACAAAAAGAATAAAAAACCTATTCTAAGGCATGTTGTTATGTAAATGAGACTAGACATCATATTTTATGTTATGAAAAAAAAATATTTAGAATTTTAGAACAAAATAAATAGAAAAAATAGCATAACTTATGGATGTGCGTATATTAAATTTAATAAATTAAGAGAAATTATTTTTGGCGCCAAAATTATTCGTTAACTCTCAAATTTTTCTGAGTCAATAAGCCGCCAAAAAAGTGTCATTTCTTTATAGGAAAGGAAACCTATTTGACGAACAATCCGGACACTAGTGCCTCAGCGAATTTCCCCAAACCCACCAATCCCCTCCCTGCTGTTGTGCACCATCGATGGAAAGTAAGTCATCAATAGTCTCTTTTCCTGATTTCAAGCTAACGTTAGATCATTCATGAAAGAAATCATTGCCTTTCATCAGAGACTTTCGTTATAACTGCGCTGCTCTCAAGTTCATCTTGAGAAATTTACGTAATAACTGAATTCCCAAAGTTCTTTAGGTGATCCAAAACACTGTAGCTGCTTGAACTTTGGACGAGCCTCGCACCCCAGAGAATAGAAATCCCAATCTTGCTCATGTTTAGTTGAATTAGTCTGCAGCAGTACAGCTCTGATACCACAAGATCGTGATGTATACAAAGTCACAACGCTATTTGATTCAACAACTAGCTAGTTTTGACATCAAATTGCAAAATTTGACTTCGTTATGAGCTCTTTGTAGCAAAAATACATTACACTTAAAGACTAGTTGCTAGACTGTAGTAGTTTGTTCGTATATATCTATTTTTCCCCAACGTATTGCATACTACATTTTACAAGACTTGCAACCTTATAGTAACCTCGTTGGGAATTGTTCAAGCAAAGCGTAGGTAGTTAAGGTCGAGTAAGAGTTCTTCTTAAATCTTTCACTGAATGAGTAGGTGTTGGAAGAACTGTTCTCTAAAGCGATACAGTTGCGCTACATGTTCGTCAACTTGTCTAGAAATAAATATATCATTTGTTTTATACGTTTTTTCGTAATAAATCTATTTGTATTTGTTGTATTTGAGTATGAAGATAACAAAAACTACGGCATAAGACGCAGTACACTGGGCTTCGTTGCCATTTTATTTACCATGTTAAGAATAACTTAACAGACATGCTTTGTTTTCGACGAAGCCATCTAAAATAACGTACATCTAAATAAAACTAAAAAACTGTAAAATTTCTTTATTTGATAGTATACTTCAAATTATGCACTATACCTTCTAGAATTCTATAACACTCTTTGCATATAATTTTTTTTAAAAAAGTTATATCTCGACAAAAATATGATTTATCAATAGAGTATGTAAAATAAAACTCATTCGCAGTATTAAAAAATCGTAAATCTTTCCAAAAAAATTTTGAATTACAAATTTTAAAACTTAAAACAACATTTTTTGAAGCGAAAAAACGAAATCTAATTTTTTTGGAAAATTTAGAATAAATAGAGCTCTTTAACTCGTCGAATACAAATTGTTTTCAAGTTTTTTTCGACCGGAAATTGAACTTTTAGAGTTATACAATAAGATTCACATGAAAAAATACGGGTTTAACAAAGAAATCACCAATATAAAGGTTTTTTAGTAGAACGAGATTGATAAAAACTATGGTATGATAAAAAGACGATAATTTTTTTGGCGGGATAATTGAAGAATATGAATGATTCGAATTACAGACATACTCTAGTCCGAAACTTACTATGGTTCGTGACTTATTTTTGACACAGAATAGCTGTAGACTAAGGCTTACTCTAGATCCAGACTTATTATACAATTAAATTTGCTTTTGGAATAAGACTTAATTTTAGTTACAAACTTATCTTAATATCAGACTTATATTTAGAATCAGACTTACTTTAGTCTAGAACTTACATTTAGAATCAGACTTCCATTTCAAGTCAGACTTACTTTCGTCCGAAACTTACATTTCAAGTCAGACTTACTTTCGTCCGAGACTTACATTTCAAGTCAGACTTACTTTCGTCCGAGACTTACATTTCAAGTCAGACTTACTTTCGTCCGAGACTTACATTTCAAGTCAGACTTACTTTCGTCCGAGACTTACATTTCAAGTCAGACTTACTTTCGTCCGAGACTTACATTTCAAGTCAGACTTACTTTCGTCCGAGACTTACATTTCAAGTCAGACTTACTTTCGTCCGAGACTTACATTTCAAGTCAGACTTACTTTCGTCCGAGACTTACATTTCAAGTCAGACTTACTTTCGTCCGAGACTTACATTCTAAGTCATACTTACATTAATATCAAACTTATATTAACCTACGACTTACTTTTATTCCCAGACATCTTGATCCACACTGACATTGAAAACCACTCATACATCTAAAGCCACTCAAACATCTAGATCCACTACGACATGGAGATCCACTCAAACATAATTTTTGCTCTCTAACTACATTTTTATATGATTTTACAACCTAAATTTTCTTCTTTACCTAAAGATTATTCGCAATATCTGAATATCATTAATTAATTGAGATATTCAAGTTTTGACAGCGGATTTGGAAAGCAGACTTGATGGAGATTTTAAATCTGATGTCAAATCTTCGTTTTGTGCATTATTGGAAGAGAAAAAAGGGTGTTAATTGCAAATCTTAAATATAGGTTTTTACGAAAAATGTAATTAGGGTTAGAATCATAGAAAGATATATCTGTCAGACATTGTTATGTGTGATAGATATTATTGCATCTCATAGACACTGTTGCATCTGTCAGACACTGTTAAATTTCATAGACACTGTTGCATCTCATAGACACTGTTGCATCTCATAGACACTGTTGCATCTCATAGACACTGTTGCATCTCATAGACACTGTTAAATTTCATAGACACTGTTGCATCTCATAGACACTGTTGCATCTCATAGACACTGTTGCATCTCATAGACACTGTTGCATCTGTCAGACACTGTTGCATCTGTCAGACACTGTTGCATCTCATAGACACTGTTGCATCTCATAGACACTGTTGCATCTCATAGACACTGCTGCATCTCATAGACACTGTTGCATCTCATAGACACTGTTGCATCTGTCAGACACTGTTGCATCTCATAGACACTGATGCATCTCATAGACACTGTTGCATCTCATAGACACTGTTGCATCTCATAGACACTGCTGCATCTCATAGACACTGTTGCATCTCATAGACACTGTTGCATCTCATAGACACTGTTGCATCTCATAGACACTGTTGCATCTCATAGACACTGTTGCATCTCATAGACACTGTTGCATCTCATAGACACTGTTGCATCTTTCAGACACTATTCCATCGCATTAACACTGTTGCATCAGTCTCTCACTGTTGCATCTTTCATTGACTTTTTTATCTCTCAGGAAATATTTTATCTCTATAATATTTTTTATATCTCCCAAACTTTTACATCTTTCTGATTAATTTTTTTATCCTTTTTCATTCTGTTCTGTATATCGAATCTTTATATAACAAATAATTAAATAGTTTCTCATATTTATTAACTATTTTTATAAACAATAATCATACACATTTTATTCATATAAATATTTTTTTCACAAACCATTTTTCCTCTTCCTTCTTACAACAAAATCCGGATCTCTTTCCTTGTCTTTATTATCAAAAACTTCTTCGATGATTTTTGAAATCATGTCTTTGTTTTGCTGATATTCATCTGATTCTTCCGGAAGATATGCATTACTTAATGCCAAATCTATCACTTCTGGATGTGTTTTTCTTAATGATGATATATAATGAATTGCCTGAATTGTATCATAATCGATGTTCATCCCAAGATTAAACATGAAACTTGTTGCCTTGTCAATTGACGGAAGATTTAAAATGCGTTGAACAAGACTTTTAACTCCTATATCTGGAGTTACTTGTTCTTCATACAAGTAAATTTCGTTCTCAACTTTGGTTGTAAATGTTTTCCGAGCCGAAATTTTGCATTGTTCATTTTTCCGATCACCCTTTCCTATCGGATTGTCTTCATCATCATAAACTAGAATATTCTTCGAACTATTGAATTCCAATTTTCCAATATGAAATGCTTTAGGTTTTTCTAAATCGGCCGGTTTTACATCTAAGATGTTATGAATACATGGAATATGAACACCATATAGTTTATAAACATTTTCCATGTTGCAGTTGCATTTACAATGCTGTTCGACTTTATTTTTAATTGCCGAAATTTTCAATTTTCTATAAAGTTTCATTACATTATCATTTTTTGGATCATCAATTTGATTAAATCTCGACATTATATGTTCAATCATTGTTTGGAACTTCAAAAGTTTGTTTTTGCTTGAAATCTCCTTCATTTTGGTATTCAAGCTCCCGTGATTACCTTCCGCATGATTGCTAGGCATGATTTTGACATCTCTCTTAAATCGTGCGATTTTGGATTTGAATTCCTCTTTGCCAAGATTGATCCATTTTTCCATATCAAGAGGATCAACCAATTCATTCTTATTTAAATGATTAACAATTTCGGAGTATGTTTCGTATCTAACATTATACGTTGCTTCATCTTCTGCATATATTACTTCTCGAATCAATCCCCTCATGATTACACTATCTTTAATTGTTTTTAAAAAATGATAAGCGCAAAGCCAATGAATTAAATGGCTACTTTTGCAAAAACTTTCAAGAGAAGAGTGCAAATCGCTTAAAATCGGGACATTTTGAATATCAACATCTGTAGCAGATGAAACTAGTCTTTCATAAAAGATTCTGTAAGCATTTGAGTTTTCGCTCAGCCCGAAGTAATATCCCAGTGGATAACCTGTGTTATTAATAACACACTGGGGTAATATAAGTATATACGGAGGAAACGAAAACGTGGCATCCAGTTCGATGGTCTGGATACATTCGTTTTCAATTGCAACCTTAATAAATCAGGTACAAGGTCTGGGATCCAGCATGACCATTGAATTGATTTTGAATCGCAAGTTGCAAGATCTTTTAGCTTATCTTCTAAAAGATGGACATAAACTTTGCCGGGTAATTGTTTAAGTAACGAGCGCAAATCATAAATATCCTTAATTATTGGTGAATTGAAGTTGGTATAACGTGTCAGTTTTTTGCTTAACTTATTTGAAGGAATTACACATTTTGAAATTTGAACTCTGTTAATAACATCCTCGATTAAATAAGGTATATCTTTGTTATTCCTTATTATAACAGCTTGACTCATTTTTTTGTTAATAATTATTGTAAAAGCCTTATATCGATTTCCTTCAATATATTTTCGATCAAAATCAAGTTCTAGAATTAAACGATCACTAGGATCAGTGTCTTTAAAATAGAAGTCTGTGTATTTGGGAGGATTTTCTTGTTCCTTAAATGGAACTATTTTAAGGAAAAAAGGAAGATAATTAAAGAGTTCATGAATCTCACTGAAATTCCATATATCTGAGGCACCAATATTCCAAGTTACTTGGCGTGATTCTTTGTCATAATTATGCATTACTTCAATGTTTGCAATTTTAAGAACATTATATCCGCGGGGAATTTCATTAATCATGCGTTTTGATAAATAATAGCCATTGCAATGCGATTATATACATTGAAAATGAAATCTGCCTGTGAATCAAGAATATATGAAACAAATTGCTCTTTGTCATCGTCAATAAGATCTTTAGATACATATTGAAAAAATACAGCCATATTTTTTAATCTAGCTGCGTGCCTTACAACAGACTTCATGAATCCTTTCGATCGAACAATATCATCTGGTTTATATGAATTAATGTAAGATATAATTTCCGCAAAATTTTGATATTTTAAATAGCATTCAAATGCGAATGAACTTATACGAATTTTCTTGGATTTAAGTAAATTCAGTTCAAAACCAGCGATCAATGATTTTTTGACATTGAGGATATTGACATAATATTTTTTTCCGCATTGAACATTATATATAAATTTTTGGTTATCGTCAAAGTTTGATAGTTTTTCAGTATTTGCACATAAATATTCAAGGATATTGTTTGCATTGAAAGCATATGCTAATTCTATCATACTGATTGTTTCACCAAAATGGTTGTTCCAATATTGCGACCAAATAGTTTGGATAAAAAAGCGTCAAGATCATCCATTAACAAAGTATCAATTAGAAAATCCTTCAATGTTTGTGGAAAAACATGAATATAGTTATATTCTTCTTCATCACCCATATCCTTGCTATATTCGTCTGCTATTGAAGTTAAGTATTCATTTGGTGTAGGGTAAAATTCTAAATTGTCCAGTATTTCATTGACCGCCGGTGCGAAATTTAAGTTATGTATTACAAAAAGGGTAATGTAGTTATAAGCATCACATGTACGAATGCGCTTACATTCAGCCTGAATATCATTAAATTCTGGATCTTCTAAATCGAGGTCTATATTATTCTGAACGAGATATTTTGAATAATTTATTATCTTAAGAATAGTACTATTGATTTTATTTAGATCAATAATACATCCATAATCAAAAGGAGCCATGGCCATTAAACGGAATGTCAATTTTAAAAGTAAACGAATTTTAGGATTAAACAAAGAAGAAATTTAAAATTTAAGTAAGGGAAATAATTTTTATAAAATAAATTTAATAATGAAAACAAAAAACAGAAAAATATTTAAAATTAGAAATAGATTAAGATAATGTAATAGTGTCCTAGAGATAAAACAGTGTATGACAGATGCAACAGTGTCTGACAGATGCAACAGTGTCTATGAGATGCAACAGTGTCTATGAAATTTAACAGTGTCTATGAGATGCAACAGTGTCTGACAGATGCAACAGTGTCTATGAGATGCAACAGTGTCTGAAAGATGCAACAGTGTCTGAAAGATGCAACAGTGTCTATGAGATGCAACAGTGTCTATGAAATTTAACAGTGTCTATGAGATGCAACAGTGTCTGACAGATGCAACAGTGTCTATGAGATGCAACAGTGTCTATGAAATTTAACAGTGTCTGAAAGATGCAACAGTGTCTCTGAAATTTAACAGTGTCTGAAAGATGCAACAGTGTCTATGAGATGCAACAGTGTCTATGAAATTTAACAGTGTCTATGAGATGCAACAGTGTCTGACAGATGCAACAGTGTCTATGAGATGCAACAGTGTCTGACAGATGCAACAGTGTCTATGAAATTTAACAGTGTTTGAAAGATGCAACAGTGTCTATGAGATGCAACAGTGTCTATGAAATTTAACAGTGTCTATGAGATGCAACAGTGTCTATGAGATGCATCAGTGTCTATGAAATTTAACAGTGTTTGAAAGATGCAACAGTGTCTATGAGATGCAACAGTGTCTGACAGATGCAACAGTGTCTATGAAATTTAACAGTGTCTATGAGATGCATCAGTGTCTATGAGATGCAACAGTGTCTATGAGATGCAACAGTGTCTATGAGATGCAACAGTGTCTATGAGATGCAACAGTGTCTATGAGATGCAACAGTGTCTATGAGATGCAACAGTGTCTATGAGATGCAACAGTGTCTATGAGATGCAACAGTGTTTGAAAGATGCAACAGTGTCTATGAGATGCAACAGTGTCTGACAGATGCAACAGTGTCTATGAGATGCAACAGTGTCTATGAGATGCAACAGTGTCTGAAAGATGCAACAGTGTCTGAAAGATGCAACAGTGTCTATGAGATGCAACAGTGTCTATGAGATGCAACAGTGTCTATGAGATGCAACAGTGTCTATGAGATGCAACAGTGTCTATGAAATTTAACAGTGTCTATGAGATGCATCAGTGTCTATGAGATGCAACAGTGTCTATGAAATTTAACAGTGACTGAAAGATGCAACAGTGTCTATGAGATGCAACAGTGTCTATGAGATGCAACAGTGTCTATGAGATGCAACAGTGTCTATGAGATGCAACAGTGTCTATGAGATGCATCAGTGTCTATGAAATTTAACAGTGTCTTGAGATGCAACAGGGTCTATGAGATGCAACAGTGTCTGACAGATGCAACAGTGTGTATGAGATGCAACAGTGTCTATGAGATGCAACAGTGTCTATGAGATGCAACAGTGTCTATGAGATGCAACAGTGTCTATGAGATGCAACAGTGTCTATGAGATGCAACAGTGTCTATGAGATGCAACAGTGTCTATGAGATGCAACAGTGTCTATGAGATGCAACAGTGTCTATGAGATGCAACAGTGTCTATGAGATGCATCAGTGTCTATGAAATTTAACAGTGTTTGAAAGATGCAACAGGGTCTATGAGATGCAACAGTGTCTGACAGATGCAACAGTGTGTATGAGATGCAACAGTGTCTATGAGATGCAACAGTGTCTATGAGATGCAACAGTGTCTATGAAATGCAACAGTGTCTTGAAGATGCAACAGTGTCTATGAGATGCAACAGTGTCTATGAGATGCAACAGTGTCTATGAGATGCAACAGTGTCTATGAGATGCAACAGTGTCTATGAATTCAACAGTGTCTGACAGATGCAACAGTGTCTATGAGATGCAACAGTGTCTATGAGATGCAACAGTGTCTATGAGATGCAACAGTGTCTATGAATTTAACAGTGTCTGAAGATGCAACAGTGTCTATGAGATGCAACAGTGTCTATGAGATGCAACAGTGTCTATGAGATGCAACAGTGTCTATGAGATGCAACAGTGTCTCTGAAATTCAACAGTGTCTATGAGATGCAACAGTGTCTATGAGATGCAACAGTGTCTATGAGATGCAACAGTGTCTATGAGATGCAACAGTGTCTATGAGATGCAACAGTGTCTATGAGATGCAACAGTGTCTATGAGATGCAACAGTGTCTATGAGATGCAACAGTGTCTATGAGATGCAACAGTGTCTATGAAATTTAACAGTGTCTGAAAGATGCAACAGTGTCTATGAGATGCAACAGTGTCTATGAAATTTAACATTGTCTATGAGATGCAACAGTGTCTATGAGATGCATCAGTGTCTATGAAATTTAACAGTGTTTGAAAGATGCAACAGGGTCTATGAGATGCAACAGTGTCTGACAGATGCAACAGTGTGTATGAGATGCAACAGTGTCTATGAGATGCAACAGTGTCTATGAGATGCAACAGTGTCTATGAAATTTAACAGTGTTTGGAAGATGCAACAGTGTCTATGAGATGCAACAGT